AGGGCTCCCGACCCTCCCTTGGTGGTCTCTCAGTAACAATGGCAACACAGCTTTTTTTTTTATATAGCACTGGTCCTGAGCCAGGCAATGTTCTAAGTACTTCACATTTACCAAGGAATTTAATCTTCACAAGAAACTCCCGGAGGGAAGGACATTATCATGCCCTAGTTACAGGTGAGGCGCCCTCGGCACAGAGAAGCTGCGTCATGGAACTCTTGTCTCCTGTCAACAGGGTGCGAAGGAGCGCGGACAAGCATCCAGGAGTCAGGAGAGCTGGGCCAGGGCGCTCGGCTGCCCATCTCCTTAGAAATGAAGGAGGCTGCCCAGCTGGTCTCCAAGAGCACCGTCGGCTCCGAGGTTCTGCGGGTCTGTAAGGCCTGGCCTCCTCGTCGCGCGGCGTCCCCTCCCGCAAGTCGTCCCCCAGACGCCCAGACCTATCGCCCCACTCCTGGGAGAAGGGACCTCAGCCCTTTTTCGGGTATCCGTGTCCGGAGAGCGCGGCGAGCAAGCCAGGAGCCAGCAGGAACCGGGCGGCGGGACCTGGGCAGGGGAAGACTCGGGGAGAGGTCGAGCGGCCCAACGACCGCACAACCACGCAGTCCCTTTAACCCCGAAAACTTTCTACCTCGACTTGGGACCCCGACAGACGCACATTGGCAGATCCGCGGCCACCGGGCTCGCCCTCTCTCGCTCCCTATTGGCTGCCCTAAGCATCCATCACCAGCCGAGGCTTCCTAATGGCCCACGCTCCATCAATCAAGCATGGGCGGGGAACTAGGCGGGGANCCCCGAAAACTTTCTACCTCGACTTGGGACCCCGACAGACGCACATTGGCAGATCCGCGGCCACCGGGCTCGCCCTCTCTCGCTCCCTATTGGCTGCCCTAAGCATCCATCACCAGCCGAGGCTTCCTAATGGCCCACGCTCCATCAATCAAGCATGGGCGGGGAACTAGGCGGGGAAGGGCGGGGAGCCACACACCAACCTGGTTGCCCTCCCTCTGTGACCTGGGACCTGACGGCTCCCCAGGGGGCCGGGTGCGGAGTACTGGGGCGGCGCTGTGCGGGGCTCCTGGGACTCACCGATGCGCTGTCCCACCGGAGAGCTGAACGGGTTCCCCAGGAGAAAGTCCATCGCCGCGGCTGCCGCTGCCAACCCAGGGAACCAGCTGACAGCAACCGCCAGCGCCGCCGACCCGTCACGTGACGCACCGCCCGCGAGGAGGCGCCAGCGGGGGCGGGGGCCCCAAGGCGGGAGCGATGACGTTACGGCGGCTTCCTAGGCGCCGGGGGACATCACGCACGACGTAGGGCCGGAGGCGGGGCCTGGAAGCGCAGGCCTCTCTAAACCACGTCCCTGGCGTTTTTTTAGGGGTCTAGTAGCAGGTCCTGGGGGTCTCTACACATCTGGAAAACTGGGTCTCACACCAGGGAAATGACTTGGGTAAGGTTACACAGCAGCTCAGACTCTCAGCGTCTTAGCCTTTAGTCCTTGGGACTAACACACCTGCCTGCGGTTGACAGCTCTGGGCCTGTTGTCTTCTTGCCCTGATATGACTCTTCCTAGTTGATGTCGAGGTCTCCCTGCTCCACATGCTCCCTGCTTGCAGCCCAGATCCGCTTACTTCAGACAGGAGGCAAGGGCCAGGGGTGTGTGATCCTTTGAAAATGAGAGTTAACTTAATTGCAGCTAGGCACCGGCTAGTGCCCAGGACGGTGGGAAAAACACAGATGTTGTAGTCTCTAGTGGGGCCGGTGGCTCCCGTTTCTGCCATCAATCTACTGTGATCCAAAGAGCGAGCTCCCATTTTCTCTGGATACTGGAATTAGATCAAGGACTCTTAGCCACTTTTTTTTTGGGGGGGGGGGTTTCCAGGCTCCTTTGAGAATTTAAAGAAAGCCATGAAACTCTGAAGAAAAAAGGCAGTGATACAATTTTCCTTATACCCTCAGGGAATTTCTGGGATCCCTGAAGTACAACAGTGAACCCCAAGTTAAGTATCTCAAAGGCTTTTATTTTTTTAGCGGCTGGCCGGTGCGGGGATCCAAACCCATGACCTTGGTGTTACAATACCATGCTCCAACCAACTGAGCTGACTGGCCAGCCCATGATATTTGAAAGTGGTGTGGGGTAGAAAGAGCCTAGGCTTTGGGGTCAGCGGTACCAGCGTTCTTATTCTGGCTTTGCCATTTACTAGCTATATATTTATTAGGAACAGTACTTTTCTGCATCTGTCTGCTCATCTGTAAAGGCTTTTGGAGGAATAAGTGAGATAAAGTATGCAAATCACTCTCTCTAATAGTGATTCAGTGATATGGTTGTCTCTTGCTGCCTCTCCATAAGACATCAGCCTTTTAATCATATTATTTCACTATTTATAACTTTTAATACCTTGCATTTGCATTGAAATTTTTACCTTGAAAGGTCAAATCTCCATATATTCAGTGTTCATAATATTAAATATTCATGTCAGGCTGGCTACTGGGTTGGTGACAGGGAGGTGACATTAACACCATTTTACAGATGGGATTTTGGAAGCCTATAAAGATTGACTTATCCGACATCACTGACCAAGCCAGGACAGTACTGAAACAGCATGAAATATATCATATTTAGTACATGATTCATATGCTACCCGTATACAAGACTGGTGAATATTTTCTTGATTTAGGCCAATACCATAATGTACATAGTTTCACTTGCTAGTAAATAGAGCCATAGTTATCAGATTTGGTGGAATTGCGATTTGTAAAAGAGAAAATGAGAGCCTGTACAACATAAAAATTAATAGAAACAGAGTAATATGTGTGTTAGGAAATGGCTAAGATTAGAAACTTGAACTTTACTCCATGTTTTTTTTTTTTTAAAGAAAATTATGGTAGGATACACTGTGAAAAACAGACGGGTTTTATAATTTTGTAGCAACTATGATTAGCACGATTAGGGAAGACACCTGAGACTGGACTACAAATATTAAAAATGTGATTTTTAATAATATAAGTACAAAATTTTATTTCTTTATACAACTGTAATGGGATTTGGATCAAACCACTAGAATTTATTTAAAAAACAAAATAAAACAATGATATAAAAATTGCAAGAAGGTCTGAATCCAAAGTTTTTCCTCTAAGAGTACCAAGTACCACAAGGTACAGATTATTATACAAATGTGTACAAATTTTAAATACAAATACAAGAGGGCTGGGTTTCAAAGGAAAATGAACAAAAAGCAGGCCCTCATCAGGATTTCATTAATGTATACAAATGACATGGTAGGACTGACTTCCTCCTGTGTTATCCACGTCCTCCAGGCTCCTCCTTGATACCCTATGTCACACAGGGAACTTCCATGGGTACAGATGAGGCACGGTACAAGGTTCTAACACATGAAATCAAGCTAAGGTTTCTGCTGTTCTTGATTTTGGTTCCCAAACATTCCTGTTTCCCCGATTAAATCTCGAAACTGCTCTGAGCTAAGGAAGGGATTCAGCAGCCAGAATACCTTTAAGAAGCATAGCCTTGTGACAACACTGGTGGGGAGAAGGGAAGGAATTAAACAGGATGCAGACTGGCTGCACTGTTCTCAAGGATTTACTTTGGTGCTGTGGTGCTCCGTCTAGGCCAGAAGAAGATAGAACGTTACCTCAGAGCTTGGTTTTGGCAGGAAATCTAAAACCAAATTTAAAAACAACCCTGAAGTGCTCAACTGTCTTCTTTCCAATTGGGAAGCAAAAGTCTGGTTCTTTAGAAATAAGGGCAGCTGGGAATGGTAACATTCCTTTTTATTTTACTTTCTTGACATTATTGAAGACTATGAAGTTCTCTAAAAGAATTATAATTGCAACATAATGATTCCTTTTTTTAGGTACAATACCTTAAAATGCAGATGATTTGGAGTTTTTGGAACAGACCAGAGGAAAGAAGGGAGAAATGACAAATCTGTATCTTCCACATGCTGTTGCTGGTGGAGGCTTTTGTTATTAAATTATATATACAGAAATTTACAGGATAAATTAAAATCTAAGAGATTTTAAAGAGTTAAATACACATAATTAAAATACACATTCATATGTGCACATAAATAAACCTATATGAGAATCGAGTACTTTTTTTTGCAATTCACTTATATATGGAATGCAGAACACTGAATCTGCCCACCAGGGGAACTGATGAGATGAACCCAAGAATCATGCTGGGCAGTTTATCTTCTGCAACCACCAAGCAACTAAGCAGAACTTGTGAGGACTTGGTGGCTAACCTAATGCTGCCAATGAAAGATACCAGCTCTTAGTTTTGCAGACCAAATATTCTGGGTCAGCTCAACATATGCAGGTTCAACTGGTGGTACTGACAGCTTTACCCTCTCCAAGATATTTTTTGCTGCCATGGCTCACCTAACTCCTTGGCCTCTACTGAGGCTGCCAGTGGTACCAATGATTACAATAAATTTTTAGACATGGACACATGTATAGTAGGAATTGGAATGAATGAACCCCTTACTCAGTTCACCAAAGCCACCTCAATAACTACAATGGGAACGATTTTATTATCTCCCACCTAGGTCACTTCAAATTGAAAGGCTTTGTACTTCCAGCCAACTGGCGTCCTTGCATAATCTTTCCTATTACATATCAGACTGTTAGACAGGTAAGGCAAATGGTCAATGATGGGTCTGGAGGTACAACTGAGTTTGGAAAAAAATCACATTTTAGCTGTCCATAAAGAGAGCTCTTGGCACCCAGAACAAGCCCCCAGCCCCCAAGTTACATTGATTTTTAAGGCAGATTTACCCACCACAGAAAAAAAAGAATCCCAAACCCATATTCATCCCAAAGTTTCCTCTTGGCTAAACCTTTGACATTTCATAAAATTATTATAAGCAAAGTAGTTACAGTCCTATGTATATTTTGTACAATATATATATATATGTGTGTGTGGATATAAAAATTTAAAACCTACACCCAGAGGCCAGTGAAGGGATCTGGAACAGTTATATATACACAAACCAGCAATGGGGTAAGATAAGGTTTCTGTCCCAGGATTCTTTGCTGTCACAGTCCAGGCATGATGTAAGCAATGTTGTCTAGTGTATTTGACTGCAAAACAAGGAAAAAAGGTTCAATTGAAGAGTACTTTACCTTGGTTCCCTGAGACATGTTTCTTTGTTCCGGGAAGAGAGATGAGAGAGAAAAAGTGGAGTTGGAGAAAACAAGGTGAGAATGAAGATGTCATCCTGTTGTCTGTTATGCTAGGACATGCTGACTTCTCCCATTAATCCAAGTAAAAAAGAGGAAGAAAACCCTTGGGCTGAGTTTGTGTGTGGAAGAGCAAATAGAAAGTACAGGAGGTGTAGTATGTCAAGGGCTAGAATGCTTCTCTCCAAATCACTAGTTTGGGAAATGCGATATTTTCCAGTTTCACTGAAAGCATGGCAAGCATACAGTGTCATGTTCCACGGGCCAGTATATGAAAGGGGGTGCCATGTGCCACAAAGTCTTATGAGTCTGTGCCTAACAGAGCTCATTAAGGCAGGGCCTTTCTGACTCCCATGGCGACTGGCCCTAAAAATCCAAGGAAAATAAGGAAAACTCACCAAGACCTGTTTAGGACAGCCATTCAATTCAGGTAGTTGTGTGGTCAGACACGCCAAGGGGCCAAGTGCACAGATAATGGAATCCAAAAGCACTGACAAACTGCCAGACACAGCCACCATACCCTGAAAAGGAGATTTACAGGAGAGGAGATAATAACTTGAACCACTTTCCTAATGCTCTCTCCATGTTCTTGTGGATTTCCTCACATGGTTCTTTAAATCCCAGGCAGTTCTAATCATGCATTATGAAACTTTTAGCAGAAATGGAAGGTATCTACTTTGATAATTCTGTTACTTGTTTAATAAGAAAACTTTTACAATACATTCCCAGGTTTCCTTTCTATATTCCTAACCCATTTTACCTTGTATGTGACCTTGGGGAAGGTCACACACTTAATTCCTCTCCTTAACAGGAATAGTGAAAAATGCCTTGCCTACTCTGGAAAGATTTGTGAGTTCATGTACGCAAAAGTGTATTTTTAATAAACTCCACAAATACAGCTCAAGTGGGATTACTAAGAATTCTACAACCGTATACATTAACATTTAATATAACATATATGTTCTCCACATGTGCCTTTTGATAGCTGATA